GAGATACTCTCTCGAACTTGGGATACTCTCCCGAAAGAACATGATTAATTTTTCATTCTCCAAATCAACTTTAATAACAAATCATAGTTGCCCTTTAAATAAACCTGTAACCCTAAGCTTAGCTTATTCCCTAAGCTGCTACTAATTATTAAATAATAATAATAATAATAATAATAATAATAATAATAATAATAATAATAATAATAATAATAATAATAATAATAATAATAATACTTATATTTCTTTTGCATCACATATCTTAGAGCATCCGCAATCAGGCGGAGCCACCCATGGGCTAGGGTGGGCTCCAGTCCCAGGTAAAAAAAAAAAAAAGAATAGTAGTTTTACCTTTAAAAAAATTACATACCTAGCCTCATCTAATTTTTTCCTAAGCCCCATTTAATTTTGGGTTGTGTAAGCTTAAATGAAGTTCATAGAAAATTACAGAATCAGTTTTGGAGCTTCTGCTCATTAATGGCGGATGTTCCTGTTTTTGAATGAGGTTGAAGATGATAACTAGATGCTCAAGTTTGAAATGACACTTCTACCCTCATTTAAATATTAAATAGATAGCTTATTGGGCCTCAAATGGCTTTTCAATCTATTTTAATGAGCTTTCAAACTTATGTTCCGTAAATTTTTTGTTAATAATAACTTTTTGTGAAATCATATTTCATGAAACCTAATTAATAAACATCAAGTTGTATGGACAGAGAAATCAAATCATCAATATATTTTCTCTCTCTCACACAATTCCACAAATTGTGCAGATTACTCATTTTAATTAAGGCATTTTTTTTTTAATTGAAACCATAAAGCATCTAGATAGAACCATTCAAGTAACATTATACGGAAATAAATAAATAAATTACATTACATCCTATTAAAAAAAATCGTTTGTATTAAAAAATAGAATTATAAAATACGATATATTACTATCCTATGAGAAATTGTCAAGTTCATACACATAATTTTTATGTATTTTTTATTTAATTATAATTGTATAAGAAATTATTGAGCCTATGTTCATGCATATATTTATAATTTATTTTTCTATTTCATTATTGTTTTATGGTATTTTTAGACCTTTATACGTATATATTTGGTTTATTTTGATTTATATTATCTAATTATTGTTCTACGAGAATTGTTGAGACTGTAATCATACATATATATGATTGTTTATTTCTATTTAATTATTGTTTATCATTTTCTAGAGCTAATTCTCACACATATACATTTAGTTGGATTTGTTGTTTAATACAATCCCCCCTTACCCCTATATATTAATACAGAACGCGCTGAGCCTACGTGGCTGCTTTTGGTGCTTCGGAATCCTATGTGGCAAAATTACATGCTTCGTTATTAGGCTTGGGTAAATTTTAATTTAATTCTAAACCAAAAATAATTAGGTTTGGATTACCATAAATATGTTGATTATTTATGGTCATGTTACATGTATTAATTGTATTTTAATATCATTTCTTATTATAACTATTGAATTGTATATATATTTTAAAAGTTAATAACTTTTGTATTTTTTTATCAGTTGTACATATGTAATACATCAAATTAATCTTCTTTTGATGAGCTTCGATTTAACATCTATATTGTATGTATAAAAAAAATTATATTTATCTTTATAATAATAATTAAATTATTGTTAATATTAATTTAAAAAATAAAATTATTTATTAACTAATATATTTATATTTCAAGTAGTTATATGATATAAGTTATAAAAACTAATATAATATAACACATGTAAGTCATAAGTAACACATATCATTCTAAAATATATAGTAATATATATATTTTTTTTTTAAAAAAAAAAGTAAACTAAATTTAATATAGTTTTCTCATTAATTTTAAAATTTAAGAATAATTTTTCAACAAGCACCCGTGTAATACACGGGTGTTGTACTAGTTTACTTTTATTTAATTTTATTTATGTGTTTACGACTCTCTTTTTGTTTAATTATTTTGTATTAAAATCGTGTATCATGCAAGGTTGTAACACTTGTATGGGGCAGTAGAAGATTTTTGTTTTCTTCTATTTTTTCTTTTGTATTAATGGTTCATAGGTTTTAAGAAACGCGAAACAATATGAAACAATAATATATGATGGTGATTCATATCATACCCCCACCAAATGCGCTAGTTACCTTATTTATTCAATTAATAAGTAATCAATAAAAACTTAAAAACAATCAAGGAGACTATAATTGGAATAATAAACCATGTGGGGTAATTATAAATTCGCATTTACCCCCACCAAATGGTCTAAGAAGCATAAGTTAGAAATAAAAATAATAAATTCGCATTTAACGATAAAATAGAAAGTTAAATAGTATGTGGGGTAATTATAAATTCTTTCTTTGATTGATTCACTCTATTTTCAATCTCATTTTCTATTAAAACACAAATAAAATACTCGGCTCGCTTAATAAAATTAATTAAAATATATATAAATATATACATATATATATCAAACTACAACTAAACTGGCACGAAAATTACTGTAAAATGCATGTAAAAATAGCGCATGTCACCGACTACGTAGACCGGAACCCAAAATTATTACCGCGTTGATTGTTAAATACTCTCAACTCGACTTGTTTTATAGGGAAAATCAGATAGATTTTCTTTT